GTGTGGCTGGGAGTGGGAGGGAGGAGGGGGCGGAGTTGGGGCGGGGTTGGGGCAGAGTTGGGGCAGGGGCTGGAGGTGGGAAATGGGCGGGGCCAGGACCCCGTGGAGGGTCCTCTTTTTTTATTTGTTAAGTATGGTAACCCTGATAATGTGTCACTCTTGAAGTAATACACAGTCAGGAAGGCAGCCTTTCATTTCTTTCCTCCTCCTCCTCCTCCTCCCATTTTTGTTTTTACCCTTCTGTCATCCCTGATGAGAGTTGGTGGATTAATGGGCTGCTTCAGAGCTCAGATGATAAGGAGCTGGCCTGTTGATACTTGGACAATTTATTTTATATTTCCTACCATTTCTAACAGAAGTTTAACTGCATTGAGAGTACACTTATAAAGTTTGCAGACGATACCAAGCTGGGAGGGGTTGCAATTGCTTTGGAGGATAGAATTAAAATTCAAAACGATCTGGCCAAACTGGAGAAATGATCTGAAGAAAATAGGATGAAATTCAATAAGGACAAATGCAAAGTACTCCACTTAGGAAGGAACAATCAGTTGCACACATACAAAATGGGAAATGACTGCCTAGGAAGGAGTACTGTGGAACGGGATCTGGGGGTCATACTGGATCACAGACTAAATATGAGTCAACAGTGTAACACTGTTGCAAAAAATGCAAATGTCATTCTGGGATGCATTTGCAGTAGAGTTGTAAGCAAGACACAAGAAGTAATTCTGCTCTACTCCACACTAATTTGTCCTCAACTGGAGTATTGTGTCCAGTTCTGGGTGCCACATTTCAGGAAAGATGTGGACAAATTGGAGAAAGTCCAGAGAATAGCAACAAAAATGATTAAAGGTCTAGAAAACATGGCCTCTGAGGGAAGATTGAAAAAATTGAATTTGTTTAGTCTGGAGAAGAGAAGACTGAGAGGGGACATGATAACCATTTTCAAGTACATAAAAGGTTGTTACAAGGAGGAGGGAGAAAAATTGTTCTCTTTAACCTCTGAGGGATAGAACAAGAAGCAATGGCCTTAAATTACAGCAAGGATGGCTTAGGTTGAACATTAGGAAAATCTTCCTAACTGTCAGGGTGGTTAAGCACTGGAATAAATTGCCTAGGAAGGTTGTGGAGTCTCCATCATTGCAGATTTTTAAGAGCATGTTGGACAAACACGTGTCAGGGATGGTCTAGATAGTCCTGCCACGAGTTCAGGGGACTGGACTAGAAGACTCTCGAGATCCCTTCCAGTACTACAATACTATGATTGGTGTTGACAACATTGGGAACATAGACTCCAACTGCCATTTTCAGCACTGTCAATTAGAATTGCTCTGAGCCAGTGCCTTAGTTTCCAAAGCACTTTAAAAAACATTTACTCATTACTTCTCAAAAACCCCACTGAGATGTGAGTCTGTATCAGCTCCAGTTTACAGAGGAGAAACTTAGTCAGAGAGGGTTAGCCAACGTTTCCAGACGTGTGCCTGGCGTTAGTCATTTAACTCCACATTTAGGCACCCAAGTGGCCTAATTTTAAAAGTTGTGCAAGAGCCAGGGACAATCTGGCTCTGTCCTAATACAACAGTCCAGAGAGAGCCATTGTCTAACTAACACACTTGGAGATTCGGAGCCAGGGACTCCTGAGTGCTTATCTTGGCTGCCTGTTGATTTCCTCCATGGCTTTAGACACCTGAATCCACATGGAGACAACTAAATGGCTTTATTTTTAAATGTTCTGCACACCCACAACTTCCACTGAAGCCACAGAGTGGTGATCAGGATTGGCAGTGGGCTCTGGACCCTTCCTTGTGGAGGGAAGTTGGAGGGATTTCCACAGGGGATTCTTCAGAGGTTTTCTCCCCAAAAGCTTCTTGCCCCTGGTTTTTAATATAGGTGTGGTTAATCTGACCTAGGGAATTTTGTAGTGCAACCCTCTCAAAACTTTAATGAGTCATGAATTTAAATTTGTAGCAGATGGGCTATAATGTTGTGATTTTAATAGGATATATGGTGTTTTTTAAAAGTAGACAAGGTTGAAAAGGTTTATTTCTGAAAAGTAAAAGATGGAAGCAAGATTTCAAAAAGGTTTATTATTTGTTTAACATAAGACAGTCAAAAACTCTCCAAATGCCCATAATTCATCACCTCATGTACTTTGCCTTGCATTAAGTAGGGTAAGCTTCTTATGGGGCCAGCAATTAGATTTCACTCATTGAGATTTCCATTTCTTTGTTTTTCAGCTTTCATTTGCAGCAACAACCCCAGAGTTAGCTGATAAGAAAAAATATCCTTATTTCTTCCGGACAGTGCCATCTGATAATGCAGTGAATCCTGCGATTTTGAAGTTACTCAAATATTATCAATGGAAGAGGGTGGGAACTCTAACCCAGGATGTACAAAGATTCTCTGAGGTAAGAGCTGCTTAACTAATAGTAGAAGAAGGTGGTTTCTAATGTTTAATGCTCAGGGACCTAATTCCATCATTAATGGGAAAAAATGCATCCATTGTTTAAATCTCATTGGTTTTTATTGCCAGATGGCATTTACTGTTCTTAAAGCCTGCTTCTGTTAGGGATTTTGGTACTTGTATAACTATGCTGATGCAGTGTAGATGTGATGCACTGTTGTAAAGTGAGGCTCGGACTGGTTCAAGTTATTCTACTTTGCGCAGGTGCAGCATCTCTCTGCTGGGGATTTGTACTCTGTTGTAACAACACTGTTGCAAAAAATTCCTTTATGTAGACAAGCCATCAGTGTTTGGAAACCTTAACTAATTTCTTCAATGTGGAGCACTGCAGTGGGACTGGGATCCCACAGCTCCTGCAGGACCTGCTGCCATAATAGCGGGAGTGGGATTAAAGAATAGTCCTGCACGGGGCTCTACCCAACATCTAGTGTTCTACCTTTCAAGATTTTAGGCTATTTCTTCACTGCAAAAAAGGTGTATTTTGTACTTTAAGGTAAAACCACCCAGGGTTTATCTATTAGCTAGCTACATAAGGTAAAGACTACCTAGAATTTTACATCAATATAGCTCTCTTGTAGTACAAAATACACCTTTTTGCAATAAAAAATGCCCTGGAGTTCTAATTACATCCTCATTTGACTCTTTTGATTTGTAAAGTATATATACTTTTGAAGGAATTTTATCTTTGTTTGGTTATTGGTTTGGCTACATAGGCCAAATCTAGGCTCAGCCTGTTCCTACATTTAAGCCTGTAGCATCAGTTTGCGCATTTGCAAATCTAGTGTCAAAACCTGCTTTTGTGCTAAGTGTATGCTTGAGAAGCTATGATCTAGAGGGGAATGAGGAGGTAGAACTAGTTGCACCCTTTTATTTTCACTCCCCTTATCTGTACTTCACTTCTTATGATCCTGGAGGGGGTTAACCCTCTGCCCCGTCTTTCTCTCTCTCTGGTCTTCTCGTCATTATGAAAAAAAGTGCTAGCTAACATAGGTTAAAATCCTAGTGTAGAAAGAAAATTTTGGTTTTAACATGTTATCTGGTTCAGATAAACTGTCACCCTCCACATCTGCCTTTTCTATACTAGGATTTTAACATGTATTAGGTAGCACCTGACAAAACCACACTTTTTCCCTAGTGTACACATGCTGTTTCTCCCTCTTCCTCTGCTGAGATCATATCCAAAAGGAATGTTATACCTAACTGAATTAAAGACATTTTCATTCTTCTTGAGAGTTAAGTGTCGCCCTTCTGTGTGCAGATGGCCGATTTAATTGCCGCACATTGTATTAAACTTGAGGTAGTGAAAGATCCTGTTAACACCTCACTTGCATCCAAGTGGCTTATGTATAACAAACTGAGCCATGATTCCTTGGGACCACTAAAATTTAACCCTTTTCTCTTACAGTTTAATATGGAGCTTCTGCCTTTTCTTTCAGTTTCATGCAAATAATAAAATTATAGAATATAGAAAAACCCAGAAAGCTCTATTATGTCCATTTGGAACGTCTTTCCTCTGGAGGCACACCAAGTAATTCTGATGCTTCTTGTGTAATTCCAGTTTATTTAAATAAAACTAGATTGCTGGATTTTTTTAAAAAGTGCAAAGAATATTTAGTCAAAATATATCTTAAACTTACACTCACTGTGTAAAACTCTGATACACACAGGTTGTAAATCTGTTTCTTCTAAGGAATGTCAATGAAAATGCCAGATGACAGGAAATGACAGGTATATTATCTCAGTGTGGGCAGCCATGAGTATTGGAGAAGTGGTGAAGAAATAAAATTAGGAGTGCATCTGAATATGGTTTTGAAGTAGGCTACTAGATACCAGTATATATATCACACATCAATCCCTCCACTATTCTAATGGTTTTTGCTGGATTTTTCTGCATTTCCTCCAATCTACCTATATACACAACTTTGTGGCTTTAGAGTACTTAGAACTAAAAGCTATATTCTAGGTGTGATCCCACAAGTACCTGAACAGAGACTGCTATGTCCTTGTTCTGTGGTATAAGGCCTCCACCTATGCAACCTAAAATCATCTCTTTTTACTGCTGTTTGCATTTTGGCATCATGTCTAATATGTTGTCTGCTACGCTGCTGCTGCTGCTTTTTAAGTATGTCCCCTCCATTGAGTACTTGTGTTTGGGATTATTTTTAAAATAAATTGTGTTTGTGCTCTGCCTATATTTCTAACCGTGGTTCCTTTGTATTATTTCTCTGCCCTTGACTGGAGTTCCCAGTTTAGTACCATCAATGTAGGTGGCATTTTGAAAAGAAGGAAGAAATGAAAAGTGTGTAAAGCTAGTGAAATTAGCTAATGATGTGAAGAAGAAAAGATAGTTAAAGTCTTCCTACTTCCTAGTTTTTTTTATGGATTTGCCATCTGCCAGAAAAATAATTTAATCTGCTTGGGTGGGAGGGGTGGAGTTATGTGGGTCTAAAGATTTGTGTTACCACAGTAGACTGGGATATCAAATGTTAAAACTTTCTGTGTCCAGCACAAGATGCTGCAGTGTTCCCACTTCCACATTTTAAATGATAATAGAACAAAACTGTTGAAAATACAGCAGCTGTATGACTACCAATGCGCAAGTGCACTGTGTGTGTGAGAGAGAGGGTTTGAGTCACGCGAGAGTGAGGAGACATGCGATGTTATCAATCTAATCTATATGTGTTCTCTGTCTAGATACAAGTGACTGGGGGGGAGAGGGGGCGTTTGTGGAGTTGCCTTGTAATTGGGGGAGGGGTTGTGGCAGGCTTGCCTTGTGGGGTGGATGCTGGTTTTTTGGCATTTCAAAGGTGGTAACCCTAGTGCCAGTGCAACCCACACACCTCCTGGGTGTGGTGGTCTGTCCCATCCAGTGGCACCAAGACCACTTAGAGAGAGAGAGATAAAATGAGTCTGCTCTACAGCCTTAACTAACAGCCAGTTGGCTTTTAGCTCATGCACTAAGCTCCAGAGGTCCCCGGTTTGATCCTGCCTGCCGATGACTGGGGTCTGTTGGCATTACACCAGCAGCAGCTTCCACTACGGCATGGATGTTATCCGGCCACTGGAAGCACTGCTGGCACAGCACTTGGGCCTGATCCACATGCCAGACTCTCCATGCGCTGATGCAGAAGTTGGGGCTTGATTAGGGGTTTGGAACGGGTCCCATATGAGGAGAGATTAAAGACACTAGGACTTTTCTGCTTGGAAAAGAGGAGACTAAGGGGGGATATGATAGAGGTATATAAAATAATGAGTGGTGTGGAGAAAGTGAATAAGGAAAAGTTATTTACTTGTTCCCATAATATAAGAACTAGGGGCCACCAAATGAAATTAATAGGCAGCAGGTTTAAAGCAAATAAAAGGAAGTTCTTCTTCACACAGCGCACAACCTGTGGAACTCCTTGCCTGAGGAGGTTGAGAAGGGTAGGACTATAACAGGGTTTAAAAGAACTAGATAAATTCATGGAGGTTAAGTCCATTAATAGCTATTAGCCAGGATGGGTAAGGAATGGTGTCCCTAGCCTCTGTTTGTTTGTCAGAGGGTGGAGATGGATGGCAGGAGAGAGATCACTTAGACTCATAGACTCATAGACTCATAGACTC